TTACTATCATGTTGAGCATCTGCATCTTGTTTATCCAAGACCTAAATTATCAACAGATGAACAGATTTGTAGTATTTTGTAAAGTAGTTTAAGTGATTTGGTCATAGTGTACAGTTGGTCATAGGACCATACACTAAGAACAAAAGTTTAGACACCCTGGTGCAGAGTGCCATTGAATACTGGCCCACTTTGAGCATTGATCCCAACTGTTAAATCTAAAAGAAGGAATCCAATCAGAAGATACAGAATTGTTTAAAAAGCAGACTCTYATACAAATATTTTGCGTCGGGCCTCACTGCCAGTCTCCCTCTTTAGGTTGACATCTTGACACAGATCAGTGGCTTCAGAGCCGAGATCTTTGTGCAAAGATGTTTCCAAGTGAAACTAATTTTTTAGCAGATGAATGAATTTTTTCACAAAAAGCATGGCTGTAGCTTTGTGTGACTGGCTGCTTGCTCTGATATTTAAACATATGATTTTTAACACTTTTTTGGGAACACTTTATAATAACTACTACTTATTTAGCCTCACTTAATCATTAATAAATAGTTAATATTGAAAACATCAACTGAGGATTATTCATACTTAATAAGCTATAAAATAACAGTTAATAATGTTTTACACATGAAGGCTAATTACTTTTAAACCAACATACTAATTGTTCATTTATGCTTAATAACTCATGAATTAACTATTCTATGTACTCTGTGTATAAGTATGTATGTAAATACTCTTTTAAATGTACTTTCACACCATGTGTTATATGTAATTATGGTTAAAACAAATAATTAGTGTTTATAGGTAAAGCATTAATAAATGTGTTAATTTACAGCTTATTAAGTATTAATAATCCTTAATGAATGTTTTCAGTGTTAACTATTTATTAATGACTAAGTAAGGCTAAATAAGGTGAAGTTAGTATAAAGTGTTTATGTGATCAAAGCTGTTTCAGCTCATCTCAGAGTGTTGATCYTGATTTGCTTCTCAGACGACACTCGGATGAAATGAAATTGTCTTTTTCTTTTCTTTTTTATTTATTTATTTATTTATTTTTGTTATTTTTAAAGTGTGCGGTGTATAATTCTGCTCTGTCATCGCTGGTAACCGTCTCCTGGGTTCCTCCAAGCCTCCCGTCCTCTGTGCTCCTCTGCAGCAGACTCACCTCCTCCTGCTCCTCCTCCTCCTCTTCCTCTTGCTTCTGAGTGACTAACGTCTACAGCAGCTTCTCTTGTCAGCACTGAGCAACTCTAACCAGCTAACTCCCATGATTCAATGCCTTTTGCTAACCTCAACAGCTTCTGGATCCGATCWCAGCTTCTGCTCTCACCCCTCCTGCTGATTAGAATAAGATGAAGGAAAATGACTCGTCTGTTGTGAACCCACGTGACACACGTCTATGRGCACAAGCAGAAAAGTAGTCCTGTCTATGTTTGTGCTTCCTGCTTCTTAGCTTCTGCAGCTGCTTTTTTTAAAATGGTTTCACTGCTGTAAACCTCGGTGCAGAAGCAGTCGCTGCTTCCGTGATCAAAGATGCTACAGCTGCTGACCAGGAGGACTCGTGTTGCTTATCAGTCAGGATAAGCAGCCCTTCAGGCTTTCATTATTCACATCTTCATTGTTTTTCTACAAACCTGTTTGTCTTTTCATCTGATTATTAACCGTTTGTCTTGTGGTTGTTTTGTCTCTTGTGTGTTGATGACAGCAAACGCTCCAAAAGTTCTTAAAAGTCTTACACTTCCCCTGTGTCCTCAAACATCTCAGTCTTCCCCCCTTCAAGCTCRCGCTTTCTCCTCCTCTTCTCCTCACTCCCACCAGATCACCCCTAGCTATCCTTCCTCTGTCTTTCCCTTCCCYTCCCCTCCTCCCACGCCTCCTGTTTACCTCCTCCCCGTGGCTCCTGTCCTCCCTCACTTKTTCGCCCTGCCGTACACCCCTCCCTCCTCTCCTCGGAGTCCCTTCAGCTGCTCCTCGTTCTTCTTCCCTCCTGATTTCTCTCCCTCCGTCCCCCGTCTGCCCTCGTCTCCTCTTTTCTCCTGCCTCCCCGCTCCTATTCTTAGCCCGTCTTCCTGTTCTGCCTCTGCAACAGCTGTTCCCTCCACCTTTTGCTCATCTCCCACCTTGTCGTCTTTCCCTGCTTTGTCACCTCCTTCTTCTCCCTCTCCCACTTTAATATGCTTCCCACTTTCAAATCCTCTTGCTGCCTCCTCCCCTTCCTCCTCTCCTCCCACCTCCCCCCTTCCTCCCGGTGTCCCTCTGTACTTCAGACGTGATCGTTCCGTCCCAGAGATTTACATTTAGATGTCTGTTTTTCTACTCCTTTGTTGCCTTTTTGTTTAAAAAAAAACAGCGACCTGCCAGTTTGACACGTTGAGCTGGTTTGGTTTAAAGGGATCCATGATTAGTTGTAACATTAGACTTTATTTGATAATCATATATTTTAAC